TTTATGCAATTTGACAGTTTTGGTGGTTTTTCAATCACACAGGAAACATACGTAATAGTAATTTGATCACACAGGAATGACACTAATCAATACATTTTTGACATACAGTGATCATAAATGATAAGTAATAATTAATACATTTTGACAGTTTTGTAAACAAAGAAATCATAATGTTTATAATGATTATCCATTTTTCAACACTTCAAATTCTTTGCTTATCTTTGCTCTCTGTATTTTGTTGACAGTTTGTATTAAAGAGTTTATTGAAGAATAAAGAGTAAAATCTGAACATTCAAATAATATCAAGGCTCTCTTTTCAAAATGCATAGTTTTATAAATTAAAGCATCCGAGTAGTTTTATGTCAAAGAAGATTATTATTGTGGATAGAATGTACGTGTACGAAACGTGTACACAATTCACACATAATTTCATTGTCAACAAGCTCATTTAACTGAGAAGTTTTGAACCAGATTAAAACTGCCAAAGGTTCTTGAAGTAGAAGAATTGATATAAGCTTAGGTTTACTTAATTTGAGCACCAAAAACCGCTTGCACATTAACTTATAATCTAACATACCGCCATTTGTTTAATAACGCCACGGTATCGTCGGAGAATATGTCAGTTCTCCTCTGAGAAATTCTCCATCAATAATCGTTGTCTTTGGCGCTCACTTGTTTCTCGATTTGCTTGAGTCTTAATAAACTTAAGCTTAATTGTTTCGTCTCTCACGTTTTCCCTTTCAAGCCTGCGTTGTTCTTCACTTAGACTTCTTCGACGCTCTCTTTCTCTTCTTCTTGTCTTTTCTTCTTCAGATAAAGATCGCTTTCCGTTAGCTACCCGTTGATTTTCCGACATTTGGCGCAGAAGTAAAGTATTTGAAAGGACATTCTAAAATATTTAGGATACTACGCGCGCTGTGATTGGTCGAAAACCATGTTTGATTACAGTTTCTAAAATATTTAGGATACTACGCGCGCTGTGATTGGTCGAAAACCATGTTTGATTACAGTATCAAAACACGCTCGCGCACGTCAAATTTTTTTTTCTTTTAATTTTAGAAAAGAAATAAAAGACTTTATTCCTTAAAAAATGGAGTCGTTGTGGTGAAAAAGCTGCTTTCAAAAACCTAACTGACGCGAGCGCGCTTCCTTTTCCCGCCTTCTCAAAAGTAGCCAAACAGAATCGCGATGTACACGGACGGACGTACGTACGTACGTACGTACGTACGGAAGGACAACTGGGCTTCCTGTGTCGGTTGATCAAAACTCAACCTCATGGGTTTACCATTTTTCCTTAGTTATGGTGCTCCGCTCGCGCGGGCCTTTGGCCCGCGCTGAGCTCCGCTATAAACTTCACTAATTTAATTAAATCAAATATTTCAGTGCATCAGAATGCTTCCCATATTCCTGGTATTGCTGTTACCATGGCAAGCTTTATCAGACAGTTGTCATTCAGTATACACACTTCCCGGATTCAAGATCCATGGCCACCTGCTTAAAGCCATTTTGCTCCAGAGCAAAAGTGAATGCGAGCAAAAGTGTGCTTCACAAGAAGGGTGCAACAGCATCAGCTTTCATCAGAATACAAGAATGTGTGAATTGCATGACCGTAACCACATCTCACATCCCGAAAGCGTTCTTCCAAGTGAGGGCTATATTTACGTAAACTTTCCAACAAGGCCTCCAAAGAGATGCAGTCGTAAGTTATGCAGCACAGGTTTAATATGTGTGCCTGAGGCCGAAAGCTACAACTGTATCAGTTGCGAAGGTAAGCGTTGCAGTGCTTGCCCTAACGTCACAAATAGTTATCAAGAACACCTAATGAACAGAGAAGAGATGCAATCATTTAAGCAACATGATCACATGTAAGGATCAGATCAGATGGGAAAAAATTTAGTGGGGCTTTTTCATTCTTCTACCCTCTGCAAACATGTATGACCTGAGTGTACGTTATGTTTATGCGAGGACTGAATAGAATTTCGTTCCAACAAAAAAAAAATTAAACTAGAAAAACTGGCAAACTTAAAGTTAGAAAGTATTGCTGCGATCAAACCTTGATAATTTGAGCCTCTCCGTACAGTACTAAGACTGGAATATTATCTTCCATGTTTATTTTATAATTTATTGGTATATATGTTACTTAATGATGTAAAGGTCAACTTACACAGTACAATTTTTCCTTACAACCATCTCATGCAACCTGCTCACGACATCCTTTCAATCCTTACAACTGTTGTGTGCGGTAATATAAAGCGTGAACGATTTAAAGTCGTCTTAAAATTGTGCGACAATTTTGGCGCAATCACAAAGATTTGTTTTTAAAGATGGCCGACACATATGTCAGCACACCGGCAAAATATGCGAAAAACGAGAAGGAAGCTGACGTAAAATTCACAGTGGAAACACGAAAAGCTGATATCTTTATGGGGAACAGAAGAGGTATTGTTGTTGCGGCAACAAAGATTATTTCAAGAGCAGCGGGGAATATCGCAATCAAGCTTTTGTGTCGTAAGCTAAAAATAGTGCGCGAGTCAATAGCAACTAAAACAAATGGTAAGCAGGTCGCATGCGATGGTTGTGAGGAAAAGTTGTATTGGCCTTTAAAGAGCTGATTTTCAAAACGTGGGTAAATAGTATTCCGACCATTTTTTATGTCGCTTAAACCGATAGCAGGTCGAAGACAATTGGGAAAAACGGCTTTACACTGTATACGGACTGATCGAGTGCTTGATTTATTTTAATTAAAAATTTCAGAAAATCCGTGACATTTTCCTTGTTTTTCAAACTTGTTGTCCCGATTTACTTAATATTCATTTTGTCCGGGAAAAAAAATTAAGAATAAACTTGAATAATTCAAAAAATAAGAAGTTATTATCTAGGTAAAAGATTTGTAGATTTAGAAATAATTTAAATCTGAATTATTCTTGTACAAGAAAATATAGAAAATACAACCTGGTGACCCTGAATATCACTTATGAGAACGTTTACGACTCTAATTTTTACGATTATATTCTCATCTGGATCATGATACTCGAAACACGTTTCTATCACGTTCATGAGTGTGTATACAATTCTGATCTAATATTTCGATTGACCACATCTACACATCAAATGGCTGAGCAATATTATGCTCCGCAAACCAAAGTGGAATGGACCTCCACAGATGTATTTACTCAATTCCAACGTTGCAAAAAAAGAATTCAAAAGAATCATCGACGGCTCACTAGCTTCACGATCACACATGTATTTGATGTTTTGAATCCACGGTCAAGTTGGACAGTTCTACTAATACCCATGTTGATGCATCATATGCTCTGGACCCAACAGCTACGTCATAAAAACGAGGATGTAGAGGTACCCTGGTCCCAGAGGTTTTCTCTTCTTTTATAGAAGTGTGAATCTCACTTTCATGCAAGCCACTTCGGATAACAGCTGTGAAATATGTCATTTTTTGTCAGCTCATCGGAAGAAATGATAAATTATGCACACCCCAAGGGTATATTTTCTAGCCAATCATATTGCTGCTTTAGAGATTAAAAATTCCCACCAATCACAAACGTTGATGCGAAACGGGTGGAATGAAAGTGAGATTCTCAACAGTCCCGACCAGAGGTTTTCTTCTTGCGTCGTTAAATTTAAAAACAAAGACAAAGTACGATAAATACTAAAAATAACATCTATAAAAGTATAGAAAGCTTCTGGAACCAGGTGTAACGTAGAAAAGACCAGGGCAGGAAGCCTAGCAGCAGTAAAACTTGTATCTGGTGTCAACGTGAGCCTATCCGCGTGAGAAATGCCCAAAAAATGAGCCACCTCCAATTTCTGTAAGTAACGTGGACATTTCGAACGTGCATGCCTACAGAAAAACCAACAGCATATCTCCAAAGATCTCCAACAAAATGCAGTTCATGCCTTGAAAACTGGGCACGATAGCAGTGGATATGAAAATGAATATGGCTTACGATCCATCTTTATAAATGCGCTTGAACAAGGAAGCCCACGTGAAGTATTCGCACCACTCAGCGCGATCCCCGGCAATTTGCCGGGTACCCAAGGACAGTTGGAAAACGGTCACCGATGCCTGGAATGGCTACCACAGTGTCCCTCTACGGCAATCTGACCGCCATCTAACAACGTTCATCACACCCTTTGGGCGCTGGCGCTACACAAGAGCACCACAGGGGTTCCTCTCCTCTGGTGACGGATACAACGGCCGCTTCGATGCCATCCTCTCAAGCTTCGATCGCAAGGAACGCTGTGTTGATGACTTGATACACTACGATGATACATTGGAACAGCACTGGTGGAGGACAAYCGACCTGCTGTCACACCTGGGCCAAGCCGGAGTCGTATTGAACTCAGAAAAGTTCCAATTTGCCAGCAAATGCGTTGACTTTGCAGGCTTCAGGATCTCTGACTCTACAATCGAACCGCTACCAAAGTACCTAGACGCCATTCGGGACTTCCCCTCACCCTCTTCTACAACAGACATCAGAAGTTGGTTTGGCCTCGTGAACCAGGTAGCAAATTACGCACAACTGCGCGACACAATGTCCCCATTCAAGCCATTTCTCAGCCCTCGGTGCAAGTTCTCATGGTCTGCAGAACTTGAAAATGCATTCCAAGAATCTAAACAAGCCATAGTCAATGCCATCCGCCACGGGGTCGAGATATTCGACATCCAGCGTCGAACATGCCTCCGCCCTGACTGGTCGAAACGTGGCATTGGGTATTTCTTACTCCAGCAACACTGCGACTGCCCGTCAGGAATACCCGACTGCTGCCCAGGAGGTTGGAGGATCACCTTAGCGGGCTCACGCCTCCTCTCCCCTGCAGAGCAACGCTATGCAGCCATCGAAGGTGAAGCACTGGCCGTCGCTTGGGGCCTCGAGCAGACCCGCTACTTTACACAAGGATGTGACAACCTCGTAGTAGTAACTGACCACAGGCCACTCATCARAATCCTTGGCGACCGCACGCTCGATGAAATATCTAACTCACGACTCTTCCGACTCAAACAGCGAACGCTTCCATGGCGCTTTGACATCGTGCACCTACCAGGCAAGCTAAACTACGCAGCTGACGCCACCTCACGACACCCATCGCCATCAGAGTCATACAGCTCACCAGACAAGCAGGAGGCGGCGTTGATGGCCTCAATCCGCAGTGAAGCCACACAACTCGGCATGATCTCCTGGGCACACATAGCACAACAAACGGCCAACGACTCGACACTCAGCCGCCTGCTAAACATCATCGAGCAGGGTCAACAAGCGTCCTATCAAACCGATCCCGAGCTTGCAGCCTTCTGGCCACTACGCGAGTCCCTTTATGTGGAACATGGTGCTGTCATGTACCAGGACCGGGTTGTAATCCCAACATCCCTTCGCCCAAATGTCTTACAGCACCTCCACGCAGCCCACCAGGGAACCTCAACAATGGAACAACGTGCGCGCATGATCGTCTACTGGCCTGGTATGACAAAAGACATACGGTCTACCAGGGACAGATGCGTCGATTGTAACAGAAACGCGCCATCACAGACGTCACCACCGCCGATACCATCACCACCACCCTCAACCCCATTCGAAGCAGTGTTCGCAGACTTCTTTACACACGGAGGACAACACTACCTCGTGGTGGGAGATCGTCTATCAGGCTGGGTTGAGATATTCGGTTCCCCGTCCAGCACCAGCCTAGCAGGGGCCAATGGCTTGATCCGCCATCTGCGGTCATTCTTCGCCACCTTTGGGGTACCAGAAGAAATTTCTAGTGATGGGGGTCCAGAGTTTACAGCTGCCTGCACGGAAGCCTTCCTACGCCACTGGGGAATACAGCACCGCCTTTCATCTGCACACTTCCCACAGTCCAACGGCAGAGCGGAAGTAGCCGTTAAGACTGCAAAACGCCTCCTAATGTCAAATACAGGGCCGTCAGGGAACTTAAACCATGACAGTTTCCTGCAGGCCATGCTACAGCTGCGGAATACGCCCGACCCAGACTGCAACCTCTCACCATCAGAAATCGTATTTGGACGTCCACTTCGCGACACCCTATCCTTCGCCAACAGATTGGAGAAGTACTCTAATCCTAATGTTCGGCCACTCTGGCGCGAAGCATGGACAGCAAAGGAGGAGGCCCTCCGCACCAGGATGTCACGATCTACGGAATGTCTCAAAGCACACACTCGGCCTCTGCGTCCACTATCGGTCGGCGACAAAGTCTTCCTACAGAACCAACAAGGGCCTCACCCAACCAAATGGGACCGCTCTGGCACAATAGTAGAGACAAGGACACATGACCAGTACGTAGTAAAGGTGGATGGTTCAGGACGATTAACGCTACGAAACCGTCGATTCCTTCGTGTATACACGCCTGTAACACCACGAATTGAAACAGATCCATTACCACAAAGACAACAAGACAAAGAATCAGCAGAACTAAAACCAATCCCACCTGCTCAGCCGTTACACAAAACTACAACACCTCCGGATACCCAGCAAGACGAAGTAACACCTCCCCCCATGGACAAAAAAGGTCACGCACCTTCAGACGGAGAGGCCGCCTCACCCGTGACCCCATGTGACGAATCATACCCGGNGCAACACTGCGACTGCCCGTCAGGAATACCCGACTGCTGCCCAGGAGGGTGGAGGATCACCTTAGCGGGCTCACGCTTCCTCTCCCCTGCAGAGCAACGCTATGCAGCCATCGAAGGTGAAGCACTGGCCGTCGCTTGGGGCCTCGAGCAGACCCGCTACTTTACACAAGGATGTGACAACCTCGTAGTAGTAACTGACCACAGGCCACTCATCAAAATCCTTGGCGACCGCACGCTCGATGAAATATCTAACTCACGACTCTTCCGACTCAAACAGCGAACGCTTCCATGGCGCTTTGACATCGTGCACCTACCAGGCAAGCTAAACTACGCAGCTGACGCCACCTCACGACACCCATCGCCATCAGAGTCATACAGCTCACCAGACAAGCAGGAGGCGGCGTTGATGGCCTCAATCCGCAGTGAAGCCACACAACTCGGCATGATCTCCTGGGCACACATAGCACAACAAACGGCCAACGACTCGACACTCAGCCGCCTGCTAAACATCATCGAGCAGGGTCAACAAGCGTCCTATCAAACCGATCCCGAGCTTGCAGCCTTCTGGCCACTACGCGAGTCCCTTTATGTGGAACATGGTGCTGTCATGTACCAGGACCGGGTTGTAATCCCAACATCCCTTCGCCCAAATGTCTTACAGCACCTCCACGCAGCCCACCAGGGAACCTCAACAATGGAACAACGTGCGCGCATGATCGTCTACTGGCCTGGTATGACAAAAGACATACGGTCTACCAGGGACAGATGCGTCGATTGTAACAGAAACGCGCCATCACAGACGTCACCACCGCCGATACCATCACCACCACCCTCAACCCCATTCGAAGCAGTGTTCGCAGACTTCTTTACACACGGAGGACAACACTACCTCGTGGTGGGAGATCGTCTATCAGGCTGGGTTGAGATATTCGGTTCCCCGTCCAGCACCAACCTAGCAGGGGCCAATGGCTTGATCCGCCATCTGCGGTCATTCTTCGCCACCTTTGGGGTACCAGAAGAAATTTCTAGTGATGGGGGTCCAGAGTTTACAGCTGCCTGCACGGAAGCCTTCCTACGCCACTGGGGAATACAGCACCGCCTTTCATCTGCACACTTCCCACAGTCCAACGGCAGAGCGGAAGTAGCCGTTAAGACTGCAAAACGCCTCCTAATGTCAAATACAGGGCCGTCAGGGAACTTAAACCATGACAGTTTCCTGCAGGCCATGCTACAGCTGCGGAATACGCCCGACCCAGACTGCAACCTCTCACCATCAGAAATCGTATTTGGACGTCCACTTCGCGACACCCTATCCTTCGCCAACAGATTGGAGAAGTACTCTAATCCTAATGTTCGGCCACTCTGGCGCGAAGCATGGACAGCAAAGGAGGAGGCCCTCCGCACCAGGATGTCACGATCTACGGAATGTCTCAAAGCACACACTCGGCCTCTGCGTCCACTATCGGTCGGCGACAAAGTCTTCCTACAGAACCAACAAGGGCCTCACCCAACCAAATGGGACCGCTCTGGCACAATAGTAGAGACAARGACACATGACCAGTACGTAGTAAAGGTGGATGGGTCAGGACGATTAACGCTACGAAACCGTCGATTCCTTCGTGTATACACGCCTGTMACACCACGAATTGAAACAGATCCATTACCACAAAGACAACAAGACAAAGARTCAGCAGAACTAAAACCAATCCCACCTGCTCAGCCGTTACACAAMACTACAACACCTCCGGATACCCAGCAAGACGAAGTAACACCTCCCCCCATGGACAAAAAAGRTCACGCACCTTCAGACGGAGAGGCCGCCTCACCCGTGACCCCATGTGACRAACCATACCTGGAACCWTCACCACAACAACCAGATCAGCAGACACCAACTCACCGCCCTAGACGAAACCGTCGCCCACCCAAACGGTACGAGCCTGAATCTGGCAACTGGATCCAGCAGTCAGCCTGCTCGTCCACGACACCTCATGGACTCCCAGTCTTGAGGGGGGATGAAGAGTTATGGTCATTCGACACTTGTAATAACATTGTGTAACATGCACATCAGACCACCGGAAACGGTGACAATAAGTAATACTTACTAAATACTCTAATAATAATAATACTAATAGTAATACTAGATACTCTAATTGATTGACCCACGAGGAATACACATTTACTCTTACGCTGTTCTTTTATATCATTTTGTAAGCATTAGGACCTGATTACTTCTTCGTTGTAAGTACTTTATGATTCAGTAAATCTATTATAGCATGCTTATCACATATCACCGTTTATATATCATGTATTCGTAATCATTGTTTTGTAGAATCACTTCTGCATCGTTATCGTAATAAAATAAACAATACGAGCATCGAGGAGTCTTTCTTCATCAAGAACGCTTTTCAGGACGCGAGAACAAGTCAACAATAAGGAATCCTGATTACATATATATTTATCACAATTGAACAGTTAACAAAACACATATAAGTTTGCTTATCCACCAGACCGTATTTTAGGGTTCAGTTGTTTTTAATATTGCTTTTAGCTCAGCTCATATTGTATATGCTTCTGTTTATATTATCATCAGCATTGATATTGTTTTTAGGTGGAACATGGTTAGATAAGTCCCACTAAGTCCCCTTTTTTCTAGGTTCAACAACATGTGCATCTGAGCAACCATTTTGGATTTTGTACCTTAAGAAATTGTGCAAATCTGAATGATTCTTGTGCAAGAAAAATATAGAAAATACAGCAGCATTCAATTTATTTTTATCTTTCTATTGAAGAGGCCAAGGCGGAACAGGTCTTGAATTTTCCGAGAAAATCTACCGAAGACCACGCTATCCTCGATGAGCCATTTACGTCGTCGTTAAGTGCCTTCACGCTTTCCCTATGGGTACAAGTGGGCGACACGAGTACTGAACACAGTATGGTCTCGTTTGCTTCAGCATCCCCGTTACACGACAATGCAATCAATGTCTATATTCGAACGACCGATGTTGTAATAGATATCAACAACAATCAAAAGTAAGTATAGAAAAACATACTCATTCATAAAATAACTGTTGCCAAGTCAAAATCTCGATGCAGTTAAAAGCAATAGGAAATGGATCCCAGGTTAAGAAAGAGCATACTACAATTAGTATAATCCAGGACAATTAGTATAGCCACCGAGTTTGAGAGTATTCCGACCAATAATAACAAACCGGCAATCGTATAAAATTCGAAAAAAAAAACTCCAAATAACGTAAAGCATTTCGGAGCAGAATCCCCCAAAACCACTCTTTCTTAGTTTTGCAATTTCCAAAACAATATTACTCGTTGAGTATTGTTCTAAATGGAGCTATAGTCGAGATTTACTGGTCAATTCAGTTTGCATCACCATATGCTGAGCGAGTTACACCTAATTGAAGAAACTTTGTCGGGCCCAAAAAGGTCAAATCATAGAAGCTAAGACCGAAAGGGTACTTGGGAAGACAAACAGTTTGGCTAATTTCAAACAAACAGCTCTCCAGCATAAAAGACTAGCATGCTGTTAATATTACTAGCTCTACCTGCTTTACGGTACACCGTATATACAAATGTAATCCCAATTTAGTGGTACTCAAAATYCCTTTCDGTCTTAGCTTCAATGATGTGACCTTTTCGAACACGACTACGTTTTTTCAATTAGGTGTATAACAGTTTATCATGTCTCCCGAAAGGCACCCTGAAATCAGGATCAGATGAACTTTAGAAAATTTTTTTCAAAACACTCTTATACCAATGTGCATATCTATTGAGTAAATGTGCGTAACTTCCGAGAAAACATTCAGACTTCAGATATTGCTCGAAGTGCGTTAGTTATTGTAGCGAAAAAGCCGTTATCAATGTTTTTACATATAGCTGTATTGTGAAATAAGTTTTATCTTTTAGGATCAATTCTGGCATTAGCCTTATTGACAACAAGTGGCATCATATCAGCTTTGCTTGGGAAAACACAAATGGCAACGCAAAGTTATACATAGATGGCGTATTACGAAGCTCATGGATCACACAGCAAGGAAAAGTCATCAGCAAGGGAGTGTTTGTGCTTGGCCAAGAACAAGATGGCTACAGAAGTAGTTTTGACAGTTCTCAGGCCATGAAGGGAAATATAACCAGTGTAAACCTTTGGAGTAGAGATTTCACTTCAGGAGAAGTGTCAGCCCTGACCACGACATGCCCGACTATTGAGGGGGATATTGTACAATGGTCAACTTTGAGAAAAATGGCTACTGGCTTGGTAAAGCTTGTATGCTCCAGTTTCTGCATGTAACGCACTATTTTAAGGCATTCATGGGTCTACTGAATACTGTTCACAAATCTGTAGATATCAAACCAAACTCAGTAGAATATAATACAAGCAAACTGGAGTTTGAGCGTCACTGGTACATTCAAATTATTGCCTTAGTTTTCTTTCCACTGTTCTTAACCCTCATTTAAGCTTATCAGCCAACACAAAAACGATGTTGTTGTTATAGTATGTGTTCATATAAGAACAATTAGGCTCAATTTGTATAATCAGTTTAAGGTATTCACAAGATAAAATTATTTCATTTATATTCATTTTTTTATCACTCCATAAATCAGCTCCGTAGCCAGAGGAAAATGTTAACCGAGGCACTTCCGCGACCGGCGGAAGAGGTCGTATCTAGGGGGTTCGCGGGCATGCTTCCCAGAAACATTTTGAAATCAGCAGACACTCGGAAACGTGATTTCCAGCGTTTTGCCAAGCATATTGTGACTTTTTTATCTTACACCATTGATTGAACTTTTTTATTTTGGATAGGAATTTAAAAAACTCGATAAAACTTTACCGAGGCAAGTGCCTCGTTTGCCTGATCGTAGCTACGGCGCTGAACAAGGGGTCGTTTGGCGTGCGCATGCGCCAGTCTGTTGAAAATTAACCTGCATGTCTTCAAGGTGCTGTTACAATGTGCAATTTTGCAGCAACTTGTCTTAAATGCTTGAAAATGTAGCATTAAAGTAACTATTTATAAAGTGTCGATCCAGAACTGCTTTAGGAGATCAAGAAGAAAATATCATAATAATAAAACGTTCATTGTACTGAAATAAAAAAGGAAAATAAAAAAAGCATTGTGTTGCAAAACAAGTTGCTGAGAAAATTGCACAGTGTGACAGGGCCTTTAGGTATTGGAAGAGATAAACTTATCTGTTATGATAAGATATATAAAAACGCAACAATTAGAACTTCACGAGAGTAAGAGTAAGCTATATAAAAACGCAACAATTATAACTTAACGAGTAAAGAAGGAACACTATTTGTTAAATATGTTTTGTGTATCATAGACAGTATTACTGCATGACAGTTGTGAACACAACATTATGTATCATTATTATATATCTTACTGTATGAGAGTTATGAACGCAACAAAATGAAGATCAAAAGTTATTATCAAACTATATGTATCATAAAACTATGATCTAATCTACCTTAACTTTTGCACTTGGATCAGTCAATGAAATATCAGTTTCTGTACTTGGATCTGTGAACAAAATATCAGTTTCTGTACTTGGATCTGTGAACAAAGTATCAGTGTCTGCACTTGGATCTGTGGATAAAATATCAATGTCTGCACTTGGATCAGTGAACAAAACATCAGTGATTACATTGTTTTGAAGGTTATATGTTAGAGTTAAGTCTTGAAGTTTCATCAAGGCATCTTCGATTTCATCAATAGTGTTCTGTAATGTTACAGAGGCTTGTTGAAGTAATTTGAATAGTTGTGCACTGAATATGTTAAGCCAAATATCTTTGTTATTGTGAGTAATGGACAATCTAGAAGAAGCTTCTTGAGTTGAGTCAGAACCTCTTTGTCTTGTACCACACTGATGACATTTGATTGATGAACTTGACTGTAATATACTAGGAATTATAACGAAAGAAAGCACACGACTTCTGTGTTGTCTTGTCTCTGCTTTAATGCACACACAACAGACCATGAGGTTTCCTAATAAGGTCAAGGGGCACAGGTAGCCCAACATATAACAACACCTCCCCCCTTATAAAAAAAAAATACATGTTACTACAGTTCAAAATGTCCAAATGTTCCTTTATAAATTTAAACGATCAGGTGGCCTAATGTTCCTTTTTGGTCTACTGTATCTTTCGGGACTAGCCATCACAMYTTGAGGTGAGGTAGRTAGATTCTTTGGTWMCTCTGGATGAGTTGCAGCATCAGGCACAGTGGGTACAGTTGCAAGTGGCATTGGATCCGGCAAGGGCATTTCCTTGGTTGCTGAGCACTCATCATTGCGGTTATCAGACGAATCACCAGCTAACAGCAAGTGATCAACATGTGCATGACACATGCGGTCACCGACCTTTACTTGGTAARCAAGAGGACCAAGACGGAGCAAAACAGTCCCTCTATTCCACTTGTTCTTTCCACGGAAGTTCCTGACTAGTACSTRATCCCCTGGTAGAAACTCTCTTGTCTTGTGTCGACCATGATCATGTTGCTCTTTCTCAATCTTCTGTTTTCCTTCAACATGCTGTGCCAGGTTGGGTTGTAGCAAGGAGAGTTTAGTGCGTGGTTGGCGTTTCAAGARCAATTCAGCAGGTGTCTGGTCAGTAACCGTGTGTGGAGTATTACGGTATGAAAACAGGAAACTAGCGAGTCGTGTCTGTAAGGAGGCCCCCTTCTCGAGTTGACTGGTCTTCAGGGCCTGTTTCAGGGTCTGTACATACCTCTCAGCTCCTCCATTGGAGGCAGGATGGTAAGGTGGAATCCGCGTATGGATGATTCCATGGGACCTCATAAAGGCCTGGAACTCCTCAGCAGTAAATTGGGGACCATTATCTGACACAATCTCCTCAGGGAGACCATACGAAGCAAAAAGACCWATTAGCAAGTCAATGGTCTTAGATGTAGTARTAGAATGTGTTGCRAACACTTCAGGCCATTTGGAGTGKGCATCCACAACGAGCAAGTAGTTYACCCCTGCAAATTCTGCAAAATCGATGTGCAACCTCTGCCATACCCTGGTAGGCCATTTCCACGGAATGAGCGGGGCAGCCACAGCCCCCTTCTTTACTTCCTGACATGCATGGCAGTTGCGTACTGTATCTTCAATAGCTGCATCCAGTTTGGGCCACCACAGGTAGCTCCGAGCGAGGGCTTTCATGCGACAGATTCCAGGGTGATCTTCATGTAGACAGCTAAGCAATACCGATTTGTATTCATCTGGGATGACTACTCTCATACCCCATAGTAAGCAATCTTGTTCTGCTGACAACTCATTACGACGATGGAAGAATGGTAAAAGACTTTCAGGCACACTAGATTGGTCAGGCCAGCCATTTCGTACAAACTGTAAAACTGGTGCTAGGAGTTTATCCTTCTGTGTAGCATGTGCAATGTCCCTGCAAGTAACAGGAAGATCATTAATAGCATAGTTAAAATGATAAAGTTCACTTCCCTGACATGCTGCCACATGGTCAACTGGCAGTCTGGAAAGTGCATCAGCATTGGCATGAGCGTCGGTGGATCGATACTTGATCTGGTACTGATAAGAGGATAAGATCAAGGGCGCTAGAACTGAAATTATGACTTATAAGATCCAAAAATTGCTTAATTTATCCAAAATAAGATAGTCGATAATAAATTGTAAAGTTTTACTTATCTGAAATATACACTGAAATGTCCTCTTAGACACTAAAAAGCACTTGATTTTACGAAATTCATCCAAATGATCGTTACTCAAGCGGTTGTTGCTGAATTTATTACCGCTGTCCTTGTTGTACCAGCCACTGCTGTCTCGCCAGGAACGTTATTCATTAACCGGATTAAAATCACTTTGCCCTGGCCGAACACCAAAAGAGACAGGGGCAGGCAATAACTAGCGGCCCCTTTGACCACNTTTGGCAATCAGAACCCCAGGACCAACTCACCCCTTCCCGCAGAAGGTTGTTTAATGGCTGAAGCAAGGTGGATAGATTGGCGAGGAATTTTCCGTAGTATTGAAGCATGCCGAGGAAGGATCTCAGCTCTGTGACACAGGTAGGAACAGGGGCTCCCATAATTCCTCGAACTTTCTCGGGATCAGGATGTACCCCTTCTTTATCAATTAGATAACCCAAGAACTGGACTTGGTCTTGCATGAAGGAGCACTTCTCAGCCTTTAGCTGCACACCATACCTGGACAATCGTTGTAACACCGTTTCAAGAACTTTCAAGTGTTCTTCTTGTGTAGGTGCTGTTATTAAGATATCATCAATGTAACACACCACTCCAGGGATTCCTTGGAGTATCTGATCCATAGTGGACTGGAAGATGGCTGGTGCACTTGCAACACCGAATGGTAAGCGGTGGTATTGGAATAATCCCTTATGTGTGTTGATGGTAAGAAACTTCTTTGATGCTGACTGCAGTCTAAGCTGTTGATAAGCATGTTTTAAGTCCAGCTTAGTAAACTGTTCTCCGCCTGCTAGTGCACTAAGTAGATCTTGAGGAGTAGGTAACGGGTATTGGTCTACATCCATGTCCTGGTTGATGGTGACCTTATAGTCCCCACAAATACGAATGGACCCATCTGGCTTGGGTACGACTACAATGGGTGCAGCCCACTCACAGTGATCTACCTTTGAGATGATGCCTTCGTTCTCCAGACGTTCAAGCTCGGCCTCAACAGCCCCTCTCAATGCATAGGGGACTGGCCGGGGCTTATAAAACTTTGGGTTTGCATCTGTTTTAACCTTGATCCTTGCTTCAAATTCATCAATGCTTCCTTGTGTGTTGGAAAACACAGAGTTATACTTAGTGATTAGTTCCTCTATCACTGTGGATACTTTGAACAGCTCCCTCCAATTTAGGCGAATTACACTGAGCCAGTTTCGGCCTAACACTGGGGGTTGGCCAACGATCTCAGCCACTACAAGGGGAAGAGTTGCTTTCTGACCTTCAAACTCTACATCAACAAGCATTTCTCCCATGGTAGGTAATACTGCTCCAGAATATGTTTTCAGCTGCGTTGCACAGGGAGACAGACTAATGTGGTTGAACTGTTGCAAATAGACTGATTTAGGAATAACAGTTACAGCAGCTCCGGTATCCACTTCCATATCCAACTTTTTTCCTGCAACTACTACTGACACTGTTACAGCATCTGCAATACTGCCACGAACTGCAAACATACCCAATGGGTCATCGTCACCCTCAGTAGCATCAAGGTGATGAGTTCCTTGGGATTCCTGTTCACTATTAGCGGTCTTGCTTCTGCAAACTTTAGACAGGTGGCCTACTTTACCACATGCATTGCATTTATACTTCTTAAATTTACATACATTGGCCAGATGATCTTTTGAGCCACAACGAAAACAGAACTTGTCTACCTCTTTGGATGCTTTTGTGTTACTTCGAGTAGATTTGTTATCAATTTGATGGATAGAGGCCGATACCGATAATCCGGGTGGTCCCGTGTCCCTCAATTCCGCTGATTGTCGTTCGGCCATTTCCATCGATTGAGCAATTTGCAAAGCTTGGTTAAAATCCAGTTCTCGTTCACCGAGAAGTTTCCTTTGGATCTGTTCCTTTTTTAGCCCTGCCACAAATCGATCTCGTAAGGCTTCGTCAAAGAAATCGCCAAACTCGCAGTTGATGGTTAATTTCTTTAGTTGGGCCGCGAA